ATCATGAATTAGGGATTTGTCTCTAATCATCTTAAGGGTGGCTTCCAGCCTCGGACAAATTAGATGTGTAGTACTTCCCTACACATGACTCACACGTGCGAGTGTGAATCCTCAAGGCGCTCGCACACCCCTTAGACCCTCTAGTCAAGCTAATCTGTAGCGACGTCCGGAGGTCAGCAGAATCCCATAGTGTCATGCGCCTCATGAACACCCTCATCTTTGTGCATTCGCACTCATCATACGGTGCACGTCCGCACTCATCATCTCTAGGGGAAGTAGCCCTATGCTTATGAACATACAATATGCATGAGGCCTCTCTAAGTCCAATTATACATCTCTTCTGACACAACCCTCTAGTCTCATCTCTTGGTTACACTTTGTAACACGTGCTCGTGGATATTTACATTAATATCATTTCATACTCTTAGGGTTGTGTCCTATGTCGATCTAACAACATGATGCAATATGGCAAACGATATCACAAGACATGCTCAACATGGAAAACATCATCATGTTAATAACATTGTCATGCATACTTCATACTCATCATAGAAGCCATTACATGCATGTGTATGTCATGAATTGAAACATAAATGACATACATTTAACAGACATCACAACACAACGTCACACTCACACATCATCATTAATTCAAACAATCTTTAGTCTATCCTATAGTAAGGTCACTTACCTGATTAGCTTAGACTAGTATCACCAATTTATCAAGTTCGATTTTGTTATTTGTATTCAAGCCAACCTATATGAACCATGACATCAATTTCAATTTCAATTCTGTATTTAATTCTTTTCCCCTCTATTATGATTATTTATTTTCTTTTCCTCTCTCTTTAATTCTTTTCACACCTCTCCTTCTAATTCTTTTCTTCTTTTAATTATGTTGGTAGTTTAGTAAATGAAGAGGGGATCTTATTCTAAATAATTGTACAAAGGAAAACATCTATGATTTCATTCAAAATGTAACTTGATTTCTAATGTTAACTAAAATTTAAATAACTGAGTAATGGAAGAGGAGATCTTATTCTAATTAATTGGATAAAGGATTTTCATTTTCATTTTCTTTCCTAAAAATACGGGGAAGGATTTTCTTTTTTTAATTATGTAATTTTGGCCATTTTCAACCTTGATTTTTGGATAAGATAGATAAGATCTAAATAATTGAAAAAAAAAAGATCTAATATAACTTTTCTATCTTTTGAAAAGATAAAAAGAAAAGGAGATCTAACTTACCAATAACTTTTTTATCCCTTCCCTTTTCTGTTAAATCTACTTCAAATAAAGGCAATTTCCAATTTTTCTCTCCCAAAATATGCCATCTTTCTTAGGTTTCTTTTTCCCATTTTTTCCTTCCCAAAATTTGTCATTTTTTTTTTCAGATCATTTGGCAGGTATAGGAGGCGTTGAGGAGATATTTGGGGCAGATGGAGAGAGAGTAGATCATCTACTTTTTTATTATTTACTTATTATTATTATTATTATTATTTTGGGTTGTAAGCTAATGGTAGGTTTCATGTCCCATATATCTCAAATGGTGAGACAAACCCTAGCCTTGGCTGGAGAAGCTTGTTGATCACACGGGCAGCTGTTCGCATAGCTTCAGCCTAAAAACTTCCTGAAACATTCTTTGCAGTAACATGCTTCGACAGATTTTTGCAAGATGTCGATTCTTTCTTTCTACTACACCATTTTCTTGTGGCGTGTTGGCACATGTAAAACTGACGTCGTATCCCACACTCGTGTAAGTATTGATCGAACTCATTTGACGTGTATTCTCCACCATTGTCTGAACGTAGGCAACAGATCTTCACTCCTAGCTACTTCTCCTTCGATCATCATCTTGAATTCTTGAAATTTTGAGAACGTGTAAGACTTTTCTTTCATAAAGAAAATCCACACATATCTTGAGTAATCGTCAATGAATGTCACCATATACCGCATTCCGCTGATCGATGCTTGTTTGACTGGACCAAACAAATTAGAGTGAATTAACTCTAATGGTTTCTTTGTTTTGAAACTTGACTCTTTGTATGGTAATTGATGAGCTTTATCATATTGACATCCAACACAAGCAACGCCTGTTTTGACTTCAAGTTGAGGTAAACCTTTGAGCATGGATTTTTCCATTATCAGCTTCAACTTGTAGTAGCCAACATGTCCCAATCTTGCAATGTCATAAATCTGTTGTCTCATTCTTCCGAGTCTTGTCAACATAGGTAGACTCTGCAGATAGAACGTAAACGGAATCCACTTTTCGTCCTTCTATTGTCGGCTTTCTTGTTATCTTAATATCTTCATAGATTTTCACATCTTCTGGCCCAAACAAGACATAGTTTCCTGATGTTTTTAGTTGTGACACTGACAACAAATTCTTCTTTATTCCTGGTATATGATAGACATTATGTAGTGACACTACATCGAATTTATTGCCAGGCATGATTGTCGTATTACCGATCTGAGCAATTGACAACTGTGTTATTTGCTGTGCGTACCATACGACTTCCTTTGTACTCTTTCTTGTCTTGCAATTTACTCTGTTTACCAGTCATGTGGTTTGAGCATCCTGAATCAACGATCTAATCATTCTCATAATCGATATGGTCTCCCATCATCGCCTTGAGTGCTAGCTCATATTCTTCTATGACATACAGTACCTCTGCATCCCATTCTTCTTCCATTTCCATGTTGGGGGATGCCACATTGCTTTCCACAGATTTTTTCTTGGACCAACAATCTCTGGACATGTGCCCTCTCTTCCTACAATTGTAGCAAATGTCTTCAAATCTCTTCCCTTGAGAGTTATTGTTATCGTTTTTTCGAGCTCTCCCTAGTTGTGCAGCTCCTTGGTGACTTCTTCTTTTGTCACCATTGTATCCACGTTTAGTAGACAGCCTATTATTGCTCCGATTTTCATTTGTGTAGAGTGCTTCTTCTTCACCTTCAATGTGATGTCTCCCATTTGTTTAGTCATGGCTTCTTGGTTGGCTAACAAATTTTCGAACTCTAGTTGAGTGGGCCATCTTTGTACAGCAATAATAAAGCTTTTATATTCTGGTCGCAATCTGGGGATTATAATCCTCTTCATTCGAGATTCTACAATGGCAGACTTCGGGTCTAGTTTAGTTATCTTCTGACAGATCAACTTGACCTTGTGGAACTACTGAGCAATCATCATGTCACGTTGTGAAATTGACAACAACTCATTCTCCAGAAGTTGTAGCCTCGTATCGTTCTTCTTTGAGAACAGCATCACAAACGTGTCTCATGCATCTTTTGGTGTCTTGTCATCCCAAATGTGCTCTAACATCTCTTCTCCGATTGTGGTCTTCAAGGCAAACATTGTTTTGTCTGCTTTGATTTTCCATTTGCGCAAGCCGCCGTTAAAATCATCCTCTGGCAACATAGTTTCACTAGCCAACGATCTCCCAAAGATCACGTTCTTGTAAATAGGACATCATGCATGTTGCCCACGTATTGTAGTTGTTGTTGTTGAATTTCTTGATTTCTCTAATGATTTGGAAATCACCCATCGTGTTAACTATACCTCAGTAATACCAAACAAGCTCTTTCGACACAAGACTTGCAGAGTCATAGACTACTCAAGACACAAAAGAACTCACTCACTACTAATCTCAAGAAATCATTTCTGATGTGGATGATCAAACAGAGTTGCAACCATAAAGCATACTATGAATTCCAAGATATCAGATAACCTACATTAACCTCGTTCTGATATAGATTGTTGAACACAACTCTCTGTGGTAAACACTCGCACTCTTTATTAAGACCAATCGAGGAGATAATACAAGACACTTTGTAGAATACTACTCCTCCATATTGCTTGGGATTTATTGGGATGATGAATTAACTAGGGTGAGGCAATCTATTCCTAAAATTTCTCACGTTTTTTCTAAAATATCTAAATCATTTTTCTAAATTTATTCATAAAATCCTAAATTATTTTCCTAAATTTATTCCTTAAAATCCTAAATCATTTTCTTAAATTTATTCCTAAAATTTTTAAATCATTTTCATAACATAAAATGTTGGGTTTAACTTTATTTGGCTAGTGATATATTTTATCAATGTCGTCATACATAAAACAAGTCTTCCGACTGAACTGAGGCCAACGTTCTCACTAAATTTAAATGTCTGAATTCGCCCTTCGAAGTTGTTCTAAGTATCGTTGAGGTGTTTCCTATTAGAACATCCATCTAATTTCGTTAATAATTCACATTTTCTAACTTAACTTTACTCTTCTCTTAAATTTCTCTTTTATTTAAATTTTTTTCATTGAAAGATTTATCTCTTTCTCTCCAACTTTTTTATTTTTTATTTTATTTTCACTTGCAATATTCTCCCTAACTATACACTTTTCTTTCTAAGTCAATTATATATCTTTGTTTCTATCCATTTTCTCCTTAAGAACTAGTAATCAAACATATAAAATTTTTGTTATTAAAAACACAAAAACTAAAAACTAAAAATAAAGTTTCTTTGTTTAATCCACCACTGTCTTGTTTGGCTCTACCCATGGTGCAGATGTTGTAGTCAAACTTTGTGTAAACCAACCATTTTGTTTTGTTTCATTTTGCTTTTGAATCATTTTATATTCGCATGTGGATGCTATTTTTTTTCTTATATATAAGAATCATCGTTATTTTTTTTGAATAGGTATCTATTGCTACAGATCGTTTAGTCTTGACTTGTTTACAATAAAATCAGTCTAAAGAAAAGGAAGAACACGAAGAGTGCCGGATTGGTTTCCAACCACACAGCTTGTTGGCAGATAGGAAAGACTAGATCCGACCTTAACATCCGTAGGAGTCTCTATTCATCTTTGATCCCAATGTTACATACACTAGCTCTAGCTAAGGCTCCTAGTAGTCTAGACAAGGGAAGGTATGCCCAAAATTAGATCCATCCAACTCAAACCATTCAAATTTCCGTACCAAAAAAAAGTTGACCAAAAACTGGTTTCCTCTTCCAATATTTAAAACCCAATCCAAGCACTCACGAAGGCAGCGCACCATTTCTGTCTCCATCATGCAATCCTTCAGTCATTCCCTCATCAAACCCACTCCCCCTCCCTCTACCTCCCCCAACGCCACCACCTCCTCCTCCACCCGCCGCCACCACTGCCAGATCTCCTCCACTCGCCGCCACAGCAACACCACCCTTGTCGTCTCCCAACAACAGCCCCCCGCCGATCATATTGGAGACCTCAACCTTGTCCCCATTGGAGGAGACTCACTCAGGCCACGTCCCAAGCCCCTCTCCATCACCGACCTCGCTCCCGCCCCTATGCACGGCTCCAACCTCCGCGTCGCGTACCAAGGCGTCCCTGGCGCCTACTCCGAAGCTGCCGCTGGAAAAGCCTATCCTAATTGCGACGCCATCCCCTGCGACCAATTCGAGGTCGCCTTTCAATCTGTTGAGCTCTGGATCGCCGATCGAGCCGTTCTCCCTGTTGAGAACTCCCTCGGCGGTTCAATTCATAGGAACTACGATCTCCTCCTCCGCCACAAACTCCACATCGTCGGCGAGGTTCAATTGCCCGTCCATCACTGCCTCCTCGCTCTCCCTGGAATCCGAAAAGAGTACCTAACTCGCGTCATTTCTCATCCCCAAGCCCTAGCGCAGTGCGAACACACTCTCACTAAACTCGGCCTCAACGTCACACGCGAGGCCGTCGATGATACAGCCGGCGCCGCCGAGTTCGTCGCCATCAACAACCTTCGCGACACCGCCGCAATCGCAAGCGCCAGAGCGGCAGAGCTTTACGGCCTCGAGATCTTGGCGAACGGAATCCAAGACGATTCCGGCAACATAACCAGATTCGTGATGCTGGCGAGAGAACCGATCGTTCCTCGTATAGATCGGCCGTTCAAAACCAGCATCGTCTTCGCACACGAGAAAGGGACATCGGTGCTGTTCAAGGTGCTCTCAGCCTTTGCCTTCAGGAACATCAGCCTTACGAAGATCGAATCGCGGCCGCACCGGAGTCACCCGATCAGAGTGGTCGACGACGCGGACGGCGGGACGGCGAAACACTTCGAGTATCTGTTTTATGTGGATTTCGAGGCGTCCATGGCGGAGCCTAGGGCTCAGAACGCCCTAGCGGAGGTTCAGGAATTCACTTCCTTCCTGAGGGTATTGGGCAGTTATCCGATGGATATGACCCCATGGAGTCCTTCTCGTGAGGATTAGCTTATTATTATTATTATTATTATTATTATTATTCACTCCGTCATTACTCTTTGTTGGAATAGATTAAAATTAAAAATAACAATAAAATTATTATTTTTTAATTATTGTCATTATTATTATTTTATTCCAAGTTTTGTATATATATATATACATATATTTCTTTTTTGTTGGTTGTCTTTGTCATTCACATGGTGGTAGTAGGTTTAGGTGAGAAAATTACTTGGCAGTAAAAAGTATCATACTTTTTACTGCCAAAGTAATTTTCATGTAGCAAGTTTTTAGGTTTAGACGGTAAAAAGATTCCTGTGCTAAAAATTTCCCTCAAGCCTAATGGATTGAGTTTTTTTTGGACTTTCCTATGCTAGAAACAGTTGTTTATGGTTTAATGACTCTTTTTGATATCTCGAAAGAGGGGAAATTTTAAAATTCAAATAGGTATTTAAAATCGACCTAAAATTAATTAAAGTACAAAATAATATGTTTACACCATCATTTACACTCCACCTAATACTTAGTAATCGACCTGTTTGTAGAGTCTTGTTGAACATAATCCTTACGATGGTCTCTTAAGCTCTGTGCTCATATTCTAACTCTAACGTTAGCCAGTACCATTCCGTTTGTACTTGCTCTATTAGAATTATGCATACCTAAACCCTATACATTTCTATGGTAGGGTGTACGTCGAGCCATAATGTAGGGTTAAATTGTACTGTACTTAGTTTTTTGTTTATGTTTCCCAAAATCTATCCTTAACCCTATGCTATTAGCACGTGAGTCAACTTCTAATGCATTGGATGCCTGCACCCCATATGAACTGTTTACAAGGTGCACTTTGGTAGCATACCTTCTAGGATTCCTGAAGTCTCTTGTGGGTGACGACTAACCACTGTGTATTAAGTAGACTCTAACCATGCTAAGAAAGTTCACGATTAAGGGTTGCCAACTTAATTGCCTGGTTATCCGAAAATATCTGTGGAATACAGTGTGGGCTCTAGAACCAAGGAAATGTACAAAAATGACTCATATTCATGCATATTGTTATTTAGGCTCTCTAGGGCACATAACATCTCCAATATAGTATATGGGCATACAAGGGTATTTAATCACTATAACACATTCCCATGCATAATGCATACATACAATGTCCAACATGCTCAATTAACATATTTACAAACATACAAGACATGTTGGAGTCCTCATAGAATTAGGAGTTCACAACATAAAAACGTAAGCTTTAATCATGATATCACGCTAAATCGGAAAACAAACAAGTTTTTAGGTTAATTATATACAACTTAATCAATTAGGTTTGTCATCATATTTTCTAATAAATACACCACTCGATCAATTAGGCTTATCATCATGCTTCCAAATAAATATCCAACTTGATTAATTGGATTTATGGTTATGCTTCCATATGAGTTCCATCCATGGTCCTAATCAACCCTTATAAGTATTACTAAAAAATAATCCACGTGGCTACTTACACGTTGAAGACTTTCCTAGATAGATTTGAGTCTTCAAGAATTTCTGATATTAGTTTTTGTTAGGTTTGAAATGTCGTGACATGCATTAGTAATCGTCTTGTATTTAAAAGAAAAAGTAAGATTGTTACATAATTACTATGATTCTCATTCATTGACCGTTGTCTCAAGTTAACATGCATGTAAAAGGCCCCACAACATTTCAAAAAGATCCATTTCAATTACACATGACATTTAGGAAACTCACACATCAATATACGGAACAACCACATGCACACATATCTAATAGTTGAAAAATATTTAAAATAGGAACTAATTACTAAAAGAGTGCCTTACATCGAATTCAAGCTAAACGAAATGAGCTAGGGAAAGATTGGAGATGGTTAAGAGGAAACTTGGGGTCGATTAGGGAAGAAGGTATACAAAAATAAGGGATTTGAGGCATTTAAGGTACGAATTCTTGGGTTTTTCGGAGACTTGAATAGATGATATCTCGCCCAGTTCTCTATGAAACTTAACAAAACTTGTCCCCTTGGATTTTTCTTGCAAAGGTCTACGACTTTGGTGAAAACTCCAAATGCCCTCGAGATTTATAGGAGAAGAACTTAACGAATGAAGCTGACGGCTAGAAGAAGGATGACTTGCACTGATCTGAGGTAGAAATTGTGGTTCAAGTGAACAAGATTTCCTATTTTTGTGCATATCGAGAATTTGATGGTTCTCATTTTACCTTAATAGAGGACCTTTTTGGAGAATTTCAAGGAATTTAGAATTATTTGAGAGCCGGAATCAATACTAAGAATTCGATCAATCAAATACATAACCATTCGGACTTTCAGCAAAAGATACGTGTATGAATTGACTTAGACTCGTGCGTAAGGTCATTAAGCATGCTTTAAGACAAAATTGAGCATTAAAATGAGTATCTAAACCTAGGAGTTGACATATTTAAACATTTTAGCTCAATTGCATGTTTTAGGATGTTTCTTAGGAAGAATTTGACTCTCATTTATCTGAATTACTTGGTTGGGACTTTGACATGATATGATTTTGACAGTACTTTGTTTAATACCAAATATGCGCGATTTTAAGTTTGATGTCATTTATGCCTTTTAAAAGTATGTTCAAAGGTTGGAAGGCTTGTTTTCGCCTTGATTTATGTATGGACTAGATGTTATGTGACCTTAAGGATATGCATGACATATTAGTGAGTCTTAGCCTATGATTTTTCTTTCCTTAGTCCTTGAGCCATGTTTAGGTCCATTATGATGATATGGATCGACTAAATTTATGTAGGGATGGTTAGGGCACAACTCCTAATCTAGAGTTTGTCTCAATTGGTGAGGGCCTATCTAGTATACAAGAATGCAATGTCATCCACTTAGAGCTCATGACACATTAGAGGATACTACTGAGGGAGCTTTGGTTGTATTAGTTGGAGTGAACCTTGCACTATTTAAGAGCGTGAAGTGGTTAAAGAATAGGGAGCTTGTTAGGCTCCATTAACGGAGATTTTGGCTAGTGCTCAGTAGTAGGCATGTTTGGAGATATAAGGAGATTGAGAAGTTACAATAGTGAGTGGCGACTCCTCCATACCTTTTAGACTTTTCTAGTGCCCCAGACAGAGAGGGCGCCCCAACTTATGCACTGGAAGTGCAATGACTGGACATACCATGGAAAAGAAGGAATGCAAGGTTAAGTGCACTTAAAAAATTGAATACACCCTAATGGGTGACTTACACCCTTGGAAAACGAGTGTGTAGCGTATATGAACCTTGAGAACCTTAGAGGACTAGAAAGAACTCGAGCCATGAAATTGGCTAACTAGATCTAGGACCCTTATTGAGCACATAACTTAAGAAACACTAAATAGGAGAAATTTTGATCGGAGCCTACAAGTAAGTTACTTAGTATTTTTATATGCATTCTTGTTATTCTTTGTTTACATATGGATCGTAGGCTACTGTTCAATGACAAGAGTGTGCAGAGCTATGCCGTTGTAGAGAGGACCCCTATATCAAGTGGTTCCCTTGTTATATTGTTTTTAATGTGGCTTTTTCTTGAAACTTGTGTCGTTTTGTAAATTGTTTTGACGATGGACTCCACGAATATGTAACCAAATAGATCTCAATCATGGAATCAAGAGGCAAATTTGAGTCAAACAAATCTGATTGAATGCGTACTATTGACTAAACAACTACCTGTAACCAAATGAGCCAACTGCACTGAATTAAGCCACATAGAAGCAAAACAAGTTGTACATGTCACATTTGGCTAAGCTAGTCGAACTCCGTCGCCTGCCTAATTCCAATAAGCCCTACCAAATAACGAAGTCTCCACAAAGTTTAACGAATCGCAAAAGGAACAACCTTTAACTCTAGAAATTGAAGAACCTGAGAGTGAGATTTGAGAAATTATTGATTGATTGTTCATAGTTCTAGACATACGATCATCTAAGTTGAACTAGGATGTACATAATACATTTTCATTTTTCATCTCTTATTGTGTTGATTGATTTGTAATCGATTGTTCATAGTTCTAAATATGTGTGTATGTATGTTGAAAACTTACATCCTCTTCCTCTTATTAGATATTCAATCAATAAACTAAATTAAACACTAATTTTCAAACTCGATATATTCTAAAAGTTATGTTAGAAAGAAAAATTGAAATAGTTATAAAAAAAAATTCAAAATCAAAATTTGGTAAGTAAAGCCATATGAATGTTTAAATGTTCCCAAATTAAAATAATCTATTAATTAATTTGTCAATCGAATCTTAAAATAGTTCAAATCGATAGTCCAATTTTAAAACATAAAAAAATGTCGTTGAAATCCTGTCGCTCAATCCAACTGCTCATTTCGACCGGTTCTCCACTTTTTTGATCGGTTCAAAGCTGTTGGAATCAACTTTGACCCGGTTCAGTCTAATTCAGGCTAATTTCTCTACGATTCATCCCTTTAGACTAAAGTTTTAAGCAAAATACGCTACCGTTAAAGTAAGTGAACTTATTGTTGTTAAATGCTTTAAACTTGATAGGATGATTTTATTTTGCATGTCATAACGTATGAATTTTTTTATATAACCTATAATGAGGATGACGTATACTATGACTATAAAATGATGCATGTATATATACTGTGTCATAATATGATAATAGGATGATATGATATTAGCCATTATTTTAGATGATGAAAATATTATAGTCATAAAGTAATGATAGTATACGATGAACACAACAATTATGTTGAACATTTTTATTCGATGAGATTTCATACACTATGTTCACGATAAATAAAATTTAGAAAACTTGATGATATGGCCAAGGCGATATGACAGCCTTGATACTTTTCTAGTGATATGGTCATAATTATGATTTTGCAGACTTAGTGATATGGCTATGAGAAAAAGTGGCGTTATGGTCATGACTTGGCAATACCAATAGTGGAAGGTTATGAAAGGAAGGTCCCAACATATAGTATAATTGTATGTGTTTTATTAGGAATGAACGTTTCATTTATGCAATGGAAACATTGAAATCAACTTAATTTGTGTACAA